CTGGTCACTTGACCCTTTTCGTTCCAATTTTTCTACCTCAGAGGCATTTTTTTTTAAATCATGAACATAGGGAAGATTCGAACCAAAAATCTTGGACATTACCGATACGATCTTGGACATTGGCTACATAGTTCAATGTCCACGTTTTGTGGACATATGTGGCGTTTCAAAATGAAGTAACAGCTAAATCCCGGGCATGACCGCTCTCAGGCTTCTCTCTGGTAATAATTACAATTTATCTCTCTGTCTCTTTGTCTCTCTATGTCTCTCACTCCAATTTTATTTATTTTTGTAATTCTTTCATTAAGGTAATACCAGAAAAGATACAGTTATTTAATGATAATAAAGTAGATCGTAACCTTACCGATCACTCAAATTGATCTGGTTTTTAAATGGTAGCTGCAACCGTTGCAGGCGGTCGGAAAATCTCACAGTGTATGGATATGTCAAAAACGTCATAAGTATGTGGTAATCCAAGAATACAAAAATGACGACACACGTCCATAAAGTAAATTTACGAATTATCGTTGCCTTGCTCCTGTGCGCGCTTTACGTGCCGATTTGTGCGGCAATCGAAGCCGAGATTGATCTCGACGTAGAAGGAAACGGGTTTCATAGGTTAGAATCTATATATTGTGTGTAAACAAACGAGCAGTCCACGTGCATTTTTTCTCTCGTTTGCAGAACGTTAATCTATCGGATACACTTTAAGAATCTTACCCAGGATGGCTGTCAATCTGCCATTTACATGGAATTACCATCGGCATTGTACGTCAATATAGACGAAATAGCAGAAATGAGAAGAAAAGGAACAGTATGTGCCTTAATTGTCAATTAATTAATTTAAGGAAAATATCGAATCTTAAAATTTATCATGTTATTTTTAAGCTGTATACACTTAAAATTATTACATAATTTATTTTGTAAAATGGTTGAGTTTTGATTACATTAATACAAAATTTAAAAAATATTAACTTATTATCTTTTTTAATTTCTACAAATCTCGAAGTTATTATATTATTCATATTCATTCGATATTCTGTAATTCATAAATCTTAAATTTATTAAAATTTATATAGAGAGTAATAACTATGTATTTATCTGAGAGAGAGAAAGGTCTCTTTATTCTATTAATAACATGTATATTAGATAAATTTATATTAGGTTCATTTTATTATACACATAATTGATAATATGGATAAAAATACATAATATCAAATAAATAATATCAGACTTTGAGAGTTAAACAATTATTAATAAATTAATTAATATTGATATTGTAGAATACAGTATGCTCCATTGGCGAGACCAACGTCGAATTATTCGCAGAGAAGGCTGGTCAACAGAACATTACAACTTGTGCATCCATAAATTCGTCATCCTCCAGTTTAACAATTCCCATTCACCAACGTTATCGATATGCGCACAAATCTGGTGATTATGTCAACGTGACTTTGCCCGAAGTAAAACTGCTGCTGGGATGTCGGAAGAGGATTAGGGACCACAGGGTATCTAAAATAGACTTATGCAAACCGTGTGTCGAACTAATGGCCAAGTGGCGTGAGATTCCATATCATATGTCAAACAATCGCAATTACATTTGGCCAATACCAGTCGGTGATTCCTCTGTTTCACTTTTTGTTACTTGTGCCACATTACTGTCAACGATTGTTGGTGCTATATTTATCGGGTATGCAATTCGAACTAATACATTGCATCACTCGAAAGAAGACTGAAATAATGAAGATGTAAATATATAAACAGTTTTATATGATTATAAGGTTTTATCAATGAATATTTCAAATAGATTTGATATATTGATTTTTACTCTTCTTATACAAGACATACATTACGTAGATACCAGTCTTTCTACATATTTACATAAGACTAAATATTATATATATTTTTACATTACATGAAATGTAAGTTAAATTCTAAGCTTTTTAATAAGTTGCGACAATTCTGTGATTGCAGAATTCGGAATTGAAATTAATTGGACAAAATTAATTTCTTTACTTACATTTTTGAAATTAAAAAGAAATACAATTCTGGCAAATTCTATGTATACGCATTCAGCTCGAATTTTATATATACATATATACATATATATATATATATATTTGATATTTATATGCAACTTCTAGTCAAGACGTTTTAAATACATACGTTTTATACACGCTTTTTTGAAATAATGTTAATATTCTAAATCATTCAGAAGAAATCACACATCCACACAGATAAATACGTATTTGAAAAATAAAATATAAAAAATAAGAAACAAAGTATTGTTATACAATATTATGTTTCTCTATTTTTTATCATGAAACGTCATGGAATTCTCTCGTCCTCCTTTTCCTGTATTGTCGCGATGGTCACCGGAGCTGTTGATACTTTCCGTACGACGCTGTCCTTCTTGCATTCAATCGGATCATTCCACTTTTGCACCTCGCTGGTACCGAATAGGATGAAGACTAAATTTCCTACCGTGTATATTGCGGCCGACAGAAAGAATACACTTCGCCATTGCAATATTTGAGTCTAAATAGGAGAAAAAGGTAATGACATTAAATGTATAATATAATCATTAAATTCATAACAGCTAGCAATGCAAATAATTGTCTTATAATGTTACAAACCGAATCCTTGATGATCACTCCGGCGATCAGCGGTGCGAGAATGCTACAGGCAGATGCAACGGTATTTGTAAATCCCATAAGCGAGCCAGCGAAATTCGGACTGAGGTCCATATGATTAATGTTATGGCCGCAGAAGGCAGCGATGTTGCAGGACACAGCGATGACAAGAATACCCACGGCTAATTCCGGCTGGTCTTGCCTCACGTAACCCAGCCCGATCAGCGCAGCCGCTGGTACCCAATGACCAATTGTATTGCAAATCTTGCGGGATAGCTTCGTTGTCACGATTTTTTTCCTGATGCACAGATCGGATATATAGCTGATCGGAAAGCCGACGAGCCATGCTGACAAGTAGGGTAACGCCGTCATCATACCATTCTGCGCAATCAAAAATGTATAGTATTAGTTAATGCTATTTTAATAAACGTTTAATGAAATATTACCATAAAATGTTTCTTAAAATTATTTGATATATCAGTTGATTTACTTAGAATAGATTTTATTTTAAAGTGATATCTTATTTATGTTTTGAATAGTTCACATTAAGAATTAAGAATTTTTTTTAATGTCAGAATATTTTTAATATCGTAAAAAGTGTTATATTAAGTTTATATTTAAAAATATATTTATTTGTTAAAAAATTATCTAAAAAATGCAAAGTTCTATACGATAAGAAATATCTTGATATATTTCATTAATTCTTTTTCAGCTGTCATTGACTTGTTTATTAACGATACGACATTGGAATAGTTTAATGTTCATGTTGTCCATGATGTTCTTGAGTTGACCTAAGTCTCACGTGGCATATTAATCATTCTTCTATCGTGATTTTGTCAACGTATACACTGAATTATTAATTAATATTCCAAACGCGGCGATTTGCAAAGTCGAAATATGTATACAACTTTATCCGAGTGCTAATGCTAAGGTTTCCAAAATCTTTGCAGGATAATTCAGTAAAAAAGAGAAGACGAAAGATGAAATTCTAACCGGAGTTATTTACTATATGACTATATGAAAAACCTTCTTGATGTCAAAATGCATGATCGAAGTCATGTAGGACGGGATTTCCGTCAACAACATCCAAAAGCCCCAGGAATGCCCGCATTGCACTATCAGTAATACCCAGACCGGCAAGCTCCGTAGTATGGATTTCCATGGAGTGGAGGGTTTCTGTAAACGAAGAAAATCAATGTATAGGAAATACGAAAATATTTATTCTCTAAATTTTAATCTAAAGAACTTGGTAACTAAGACTCCTTAAATTTATAAAACTATTTATTTATTTAATTAAATATATTAAATTTTAAATTATTGTACTTTGAATTTTTGAATCTGTATTTGAAATAATTATTTAACTGATGTGATTTTCTTTTTTTTCTCGAGAGATGATCAGTGCAATTATGTTGAAGAAATTACTTCATTGATCTCAGTTATTCCCAAACTCGTCTCGATGTATTCTTTTTCGTCGTGAGATATTCTAGGATGTTCAGAGGGTGAATCCTGCCCGAGTAAGTAGAAACAAATTCCGCTAAGGATGCCAAGGCTTCCCCAAATGTAAAAGCAACTAGGCCAGCCGATGGACGATGCCGCGAGGAAGCCAGTACTTAGCAAGCATACTACGTTGCCAATCCAGCCGCCGGAATAAACGAACATTGCTAGAGAAATATGTATATTACAACCACGATCCTTCTGTGTAAAAATTCAACACAATTATCATTAGACTAATTAATAAAAGAAATTTTTTTTCTTTGAATTTTTTAATAAATTTTAATTATATTTATTATAATTAAATAAAACCGTTTGAAAGAGACAGAAAATTTTATTGTTTTAACGAAATTAAAAGAGATACGAGATACTTGGGTAATCGAAATTGTACGAATTTTTTTTATTATGAGATATTAATCTTAAAAAACTTTTCTCGCGAACTCTTGACGTGTCTTATCAATTTGGTATCAGACTGCGATAAGAATTTTTCCTATCTATTATACGTATCAAACTTGACGTGCCTGCTAATTCATTTGCATTTCTGTAATGAATTGTCAAGTAAAAGTGTGCGTATATAGCTAACTGCATGCCAATTTGAAATTCAAAAGAAAGAATTGACACAAATCAGATTGAAATGAAAATCGGAATATTAAAAATTACGACATTTCTCGACAAAATAAAATAAAATAAATAGAATCACTGACTTTGTGATGCATTTTTAAATTACTTGAAGTATGTACAGATGCTAAAATGATTTTAGAATCAGTGTAGCATTGTAGCACTACAAACTGATCGTATAAGCAAATATTTTCAAACTTCAACAAACGAATAATAAAACGCCATAAAAATCTCCACGTATATATACATATATATATATAACTTTTATTATATAAGTATATATATATATAACTTATTTTAATGAATACAAGAATCGTCACTCACTTGATAGTCAAATGTCGAAAACTTATCTCTTAATTCATTTAACATACTTTTACTCTTTGAGTGAAAAGATTTATTCCGCATGTTTAATTAAAGATATGTATACTTACAAAGTCTACCACGCTCTTCAGGTGGCGACCATCTAGACAGTAAGGTGTGTAGACACGGTAGAACGGCACCCTGGACGAGGCCGCATACTACTCTGCAGGCAATCACCATTTGCCAGCCACCATAATGAGCTGCTACGGGAGTGGCGAGAGTCAGCAACCCGGAGATGACTAGGGTCGCCGAAAACAAACCCTGAGCAGTCCATCGCTGGATGAGAATGCTGGCTGGTATTTGCGTGATGGTGTAGCCCCAGAAGAAAGAGCTGAGGATTATGTGCTTCACCGATTCCTCCCAATGAAACTCCTTTAGAAGAGAGAAGACGTGTATATCTCTTTTAGATAACAAGGGTAAGAAAGAGAATCAGTGTTATCGATACGTACCTCGAAATTAGGATTGGCACTGGCTGCATTGGTCATCGCTTCTAAGGTCACTGACGTTGTTACTCGGATGGCATAACAACAGAAGAATCCTAGGCCCATGAGTCCCACCTGACCATGTCTATATCCAAACCATGCTGCAAGGAGGAATTATATCCTTCAAGGTATACATACTATGCATATATTAAGTTGATCAAATAGTGGAAAAATTAATTTATCTCAGTATATAAAGAGGCGCCTCAAAATTTACGAATCAAATATTATAGCAAGAAAGTTCTTGAAAAGTTAAGTAAAGAATGTTTTGAAAATTTTTATTTAAAAAAATTATTTTTTTAGATATAAAGATTTAAATATGATCAGTTACAGATTATGTTTAGACGATCACTTGTATTGAAATGAGCGCATCAATGTTTTATTAACACATGTCGCGCTTGACTCATATATGGACGTTCAAGCAACAGATGGTTGTTTAAACGTAGTTTGTAATTAGTCATATTTAAATCTTTATGTTAAAAAAAATTATTGTTTAAAACAAAAAATTTACAAATAACCTTTTTTACATAATTTTTTTCGAGGTCCTTCTTGCTGTGATATTTTTATTTGAGAATTTCGAGACACTCTGTGTACCGCAAAAATAAAAAATTACATAATTGCTTGTTTATTTAGATATATGGCTATATTGTGAGTAAATGAATGTCATAATTTAAGTTTTGTAAAAAATAGATAAACGATATATTTTTTAATCACCATTTATGTTCTTTATTCTTACAATTAGTAGTACGTTCCTTATACTCTCGATGAAGTTTACATGGGCATCACGTATAAACGCGGAATTGAATACAAATTGTGTCATTGTCATCAAGATCACATTGCGTCAGTAAGACCGATCGCTCAATGTTTATGCTTGAAATCCAATAACAATTACCCGTTGCGTCAGTGAAATCACCGGTATGCGAATGCAATCGATAAAATCTTAGTAACCGTGTTTGAATTTTTTCTTTATTCCGAAGAAGCGTACCGTTCGAGTGAAGAATGCATAGAATGCGGATTAATTCTAATTGTTATATAATACAACTTTTACTTGCAAAATGTGTTTTCTCCAGCTTGTCTTGAGACAATCATATGAATCAGAAAAAAACTGATGGATTAATAAAAAGAAATAGTAATATATTATGTTACTAAAAAGCT